CAACAACAACAACAAACCATCTCTCGCTAAAGGGAATCATATATGGATACGAAACAGCGGGGAAATAGCGAACGGCACCCACAGAAACTCTTCTACGTCACCTCAAGCAGATGCACCAACATTCAGAACCTATACCTAATAAAGTTTCCTAATAATACACTAGGTGGAACTCTGGCGCTAGTGTCTATGGGAGCTGCAGCGCACAGCGCTTCAGCGATCATGGGAATGGTTAGTACACGTGTTTGTCTAATTTTCACACTTTCGGCTCCGGTTGGTTTTGCGTGGCCTGAAGCTGCTTTATCACGAAATGACAATCGGCGAATGTTCAGCACTTGCACTTGATTGCCCTATTCTTTTAGGGTCATCATTTGAAACAGGTCCACACAGTTCATAACCGTCTGTTTTTTCATTCGAAATAAAACCAAAACACAGCAATAAAGAAAGCCAAAAGGGCGCTCGAGGACTACAAGCACGATGACTAGACAAATACATGTACAGCCCATCATCACCATGGTCGCTAAACGATCACAGCGCCAGATTTCCCTCTATAGGTAATTTTAGGAAACCCTATGCTCTAGTTAGGGTGCCTTCATGTGCGCACCACTTCCGTTTTTGGATGCGGCGCGCACATGAACACTCCCTATATAGCTCCACCTGCCGATGATCATCTCATGATGCCGGTGACTAACACTGCCGGTGACCATGACTATATAGCACTGCTAAGCAGCCGGTCTCTCAACGCACACACCAAAGACATCGAACATGATCCCGCGCTTACCTAGGTGACGCGCTCTGTCTCACGGTATCGTAGAACGCCGCCACACCGATGGTCAACGGCTACGAAGTAGTCGTTTGTACTGAGGAAGTGTTCTGTTGCCTTCTCCGTCGACTAGGGAGAAGGAGGGAGAAGCGTAGGAGAGAACAAGGGGGCAGGCCTGCGCAGGGTGGAGAGGGTTGACCACAAACCACTTCACGCACGCGCAGTGGGGGTTTGTTATTGATGTAAAAGTATACGGGCTGGGAGACGATTTAGACTCCACCCAAAAGTTTTGAAGAAACCCGACGTTTCGAAACCGACTTGGTTCCTTCCTCAGGAGTGACTGCGGAGGCTACGTCGCAGCGGCGTCATCAAAGCACTCGCGGGGTGGATAATGACCCCCCCCCCCCCCCCCCCTCTCTTGTTTTGCCGTGGAGTGCAGGCCGTGTGTATACATTGGAGGAACGGTTCCGAGAGAGCGGTTGATCCACCCCGCGAGTGCTCTGAAGACGTCGCTGTGACGTAGCCTCCGCAGTCATCCCTGAGGAAGGAACCAAGTCGGTTTCGAAACGTCGGGTTTCTTCAAAACTTTTGGTTGGAGTCTAAATCATCTCCCAGTTTCATACCCAACCAAACAGACTTCTGTAGAATGTTTACATTCATAAGCAGGGACACACAGACTGATACACATTACGGTGTACACATCTTGGTCTTATTGTTTTGGTGTCATTATTCAATGTTTCCGTTAAGTCATGGGATAGCCAAACCGTAGCAAATTAGCACACATTAGTTCGGTACAGTTTTAAAAGCCAGCAGCATTTAATCTCCAAAGGCGGATGAATGTGAGACTGCTATAATGGCGAGAACTTAAGGATGACGTCATGAGTCGGATGGCCGGTGACTCCACCATTTGGCTCGTTGGCGGCACTACACAGTTACAGTTTGGTGGGTTTAGAAGAGTTGCGGAATCAAAATGCGTATGCGCAGCACGCTAGACAAGCCGTAGCGTATAGCGCAGGCTATGCTTCTGATATAGCGTTACTATCTTTCCAATGTTAACGTGGTCAATACGTAAAACAAGGTGGCGGCTTTGGAAGGCCTCTTTGAACTGAATTTTGCATCGATGTGGACGGATCCACTCCTTTCGCCACAAACGACTGTGTGAAATGGTTCCGCTTGCCTTCACGTAGCTTCGACGACCGAGTATTACGGATAACTTGTACGCACCCAGGGCTGACTGGAAGATATATGTGAAGATATATGCAAGATAAAAATCGTTCCCTTGGTTTATGGTTAATATACACTTACTTCTATTGTTACAGAAAGTATTATTAGTGCTGCGTGTGTGCATACAGGCGAGCATCCTAAGCTTGTATATTTTTTTTCAGTTTTTTGAGCATTCACCTTCTGCTAGATGACGCCACTGCCACATCTTGGGCACGTAAACGCTATCCCGCTAAACTAATGCGCGCTGGACCTAAAGAAAGTTTTCGGCACGGTAACGTTATTCCCCTAAACTCCACTATGACAAGTAACGCTGACCTACAACTGTCTGCCATCTATTTAAACGCGGGTGCAAACGGCGGTCACGTTTTGGTCATCTGAATGTGTGCTTCTACTCATAGGCGTGCGTTTTTTTTTTTTGGAGGGGGGGGGGGAGGAGACAAAGGTTTGTCGCAGCACCCTCCTTCCCTATCATGTCAATCTACGAGACTTGCTTTGCGCCCTTCCCCCTAGTTGCCCCAGTCTTAGCAGCCCTCTCTCTTTATATCGATGGGTGGGGCTGCCTGTGCATACTCTTCCTCCCCCCAGCTCACTTGATCAAGGCAGCCATTCCTTGTTCTCCATGTGCACACGTCTCAAACGGATAGTAAAGAAAAAAAATTACACCATCTCCCACTAAAGGGAACCATGCGGGGAAGCGAATCAGCGCCGGTGGTCACTTGTGTTTTCATTCGTAGTTTTCATACATATGTTTCCGTGTATGTTTCATTTGTGTGTGGAGTTGTGTTTATGTTGTGTACCGCTTATGTTAGCCTCCCTCCTCCCATATGTTGATCGTGTATTAACGTGTGCATGCCGCAAAATGAACACCCAGCACTGCTAGGAGAGTGCAACGCCGTGAGTGCGCGACGCTGTAGCACAGAGATAAACGGGAGATAAGAAACGAAGCGGAGGCAGCACTTTCCCATCTCTCACCTCCTCGTTCTCACGCGAGGAGGGGGAGAGTTGGCGCACGCGCAGTAGCGGAGCGGACGGTCGCTGAGGGACGGACGGAGCCCCGAGTAAAAGCTGACTCGCGCAAAAAAAAAACACGCTTTTATCGTATTATTAAATTAATCCTATGCAATACTAGAAGCACCACTCCTGCCGCGGGAGGATGCATAGTGAGCGAAAGAAAAAACAACAAACAACCGCATAAACAAAATGCTGCTGGCGACGCCATCTTATCCGGCACCAAGTCGCTGTGATTCCATAGACCTTAACGGTGTCCACCAGGGTATACATTGCTCTTAATCGGTAAAACATACCACACAGTGAAATATGAGGGGGCCATAGGCTTATCGTACAAAGTTTCAGGAAGCATCATTGACCTAATATGACCAAAATACGGAAAAATAATGCTGAAAATTTTGACGCACTTTGATGTCCTTGTGCGAAAATTTTTGTATGAAATAATAAGTAACCGAAGCTAAGCTTTCAGTTTCTCTTCGAACAATATACCTATGGTGTCAGAAATAACGATAGTGAAGTTTTTGAAAAAAAATTAAGTGCTGAAATTGAGTCTGTTCCAATTCCGTGTCCATGTAAGTTGTATCTAGTGTCGTCGTCATTGAAACTACAAGTGACGTTTTCATTAATAAGCCAGCACTAGCAGCAGCTTAGTCGCAATTAGGCCACTCCGACGAATGTTCAAACAGTAATTGACTTCAGCCACTATCAGATTATCTTAGCCAGCGCTAAACGGTGGTGGTAGTGTTCGAGTAAATACGTAGCCCAAGAGATCCCCACTGACGTTTAAAAACACGCGATAGAGGGAGGTGGTATGTAAGCTGACATATTAGATCGCATACAAAATGGTTTTACTCTCACATTCAGAAGGACATCATTGAAATTAGTGTAAGATGTCTTGCTATGCGTACAAACCATGTAATCTTTAGGAACTCGAGCACAATCGCCTCTTCAGTGAATAAGCGGGAGAGATAGAGACCCTGTATAGAGTACCAGAGAGTTCGTTGGCATGGCTAGCGCCATCATAGATCCATTTCATTCTTCATCCTAAAAATCATTGTATCATGAAGAATGAAATTTATGAAAGGTGGGCGACGAAAGCAGGCGCAAAAGAATACCCTTCTCCATGGTGAGTCGAGCAATGAAGCAGCTACTCTCGAAGCTGCGTCATCTATGCACAGGTACGAGTCCCCCTCCTTCACCCTTTCTTCTTTAGACACGTAACAAGCATTGCATAGTTATTCGGGTCACTTGAAACGTCGCTGGCCTTCATTGTATAGCCATTGAACGTTGTCACATAGACTCATGACGTGTCACATATACCACAGGAATTTACTCTGATTGCTAAAGAATGACCCCTGCACAGCCAAGTTTCGACGCATTGCAAATTCTCTAGTAAAATGAAAATAAAATAGAAAGAAATTTACGAAACGAAGGGCACAAAAGCTTGAAACTCAGCGACCCGGTATGCGTGCAGTGGAACAATATATCGAACAGTAGATTGGCGTACGCGTACCACAATAGGCGTGCCGCGCCATGAAAAGAGCCGCGAGCCGCTGAACCGTGGCCGCAGGGACAGTCGGTCCATCGAAGCTTCCCGGAAAGATACGGGAAGAGCGGGGCGACCCGGCCGCCGGAAGTCCCACATTTGAATGCCGCCCGAGAGGACCACCATTGGCTCAGCGGGCAGCGTCCCGTGACGTCAGAGCGCGCGCTTTCCGCAACGGGCCAATGGCCAGACCGGAAGTGGTGATTGCGAGTAAGCCAACGCGCGCGCGCGCGCGTTGTCGTCTTCCTACAGCGGGCCTAGTGAGGACGGTGCATGTGAGCTGATGATCGCTGAGCACGTTTGGTTGTCGCGTTAAGGCCCCGACTTGACTTGTTTCGATGCCTGTGCCGTTGTTAGTGTGCCCCGCGGCGGGCTGATGTGAACAGCCCGGTGCCAGGGATGACGGACGCTTTTTGCTCGTAGACGGTGCTTCGGCCCAAGATGGTCTATAGCTGGTCCACCATGGTGCCCCTGGTCTCCTTTCTCGCGGCGCTAAGGATTTTGACCGAAGGTGAGTGGCATGCACATTCCACTTTCTCTTCTTAGCCCTACTGGTTGCCAGAGCTAGTTGGCGCATACTTCGAAAGAAACAGTCACCTAAGCACCGCCATCAGAAAGAATAAGTACAAGGGCGTAATTTAGCTTCGCTTCTTCCTTTCCTGAGCTACCTTCTTCACGACGCTATACGGTTAATTGCACCACTAAACTATCGCAAGCACCTTGGTCATTCTGGCTGTTGTGTCTTCAAAGGAACGCATGTGCTGGTAATGTTCAACAAACACCCGTTCGTTTCGATTAGCTTTTAGTTACTTACGATCATCCAAAATAACGTTCATTCTGTTCGCCAATGTAGTTTGTATACTATACCACAGTGGCAACTATTCTATGTTGACTGCTCCAAAGACTCAATAAGGTGTTTCTGTTGCTAATGTGCACAGCGATGCAACCTGATGAAATGACTCGACTTGAAGAACTAACGAGATAACGTAGCAGCTTAATATGAGGTTAAGTGAGCTCATTGTACGGCGGACACATTCTACCTGCGGGTTGTTAAAGACAGCATCAGCTACCGCTATGGTAACTTAACAAGGGTTCGTGCAGAACATTAGGAGGTAGTGCAGGAGCGAAACAAGTTATGACCTGGCGTTCCAGAACCAAAGCGTCGGTACTCGAACGTCCTTTGTTCAAATGTGTACAGATCTCTATAACGTCGAGTTATTAGGTTTCAAGGATAGATCTCTATAACGCTGAGTTATTAGGTTTCAAGGTGACAGAAAGAAATTATTTATGAGAAGGCAGGGAGGTCGGCCTGAGCTGGTTCGCTCTAACCTGCTGCTTGTGCAAACAAGGAAAGGATAGCCAGGAAAAAAAAAATAGAAGTGATGAAGGGTCACGGTGGAAAGAGAATGTTGAAAGAAAGACTTGCAGTGACATACGAGAAGATTTCAGACCATTGACGAACATTAGAGCCGGCGAAAGAAATGAGAATGAAAACTTGCAGGAGATGGTTAATCTAATACGATGTAATTTAAAAATAACGGTGGCCAGGGTTGGTGCTGGTGGTGAAAAACATTAATTTACAAAAGAAAGGAGTATAACCTCTTTAGACGTTCCTACAGACTAGACGGAGTCTTTATTTCGGGACACCATTGGTTGAAGCCGCCGTCCTGGCTCTCTAGACTGCTGGACCCGAAGGTCTGAGCAGCCGAGCGGGGCCGCCTCCCAGTCCTCTCGCCTATAGGGTTTGGGTGAGGACTAACGACTGCAGTATTTTGACAGGCACACACCATGTGGTAGGTGTCTGCCAGCTCGCCACAGTACTGGCGCTGTCCTGTGACCATAGGGCCAATATGTTCAACTATGGCAGGGCATAGCATTGCGTTCGTCTGAAGTCAAAGCAAGATGCGCTCATCGGCTTTCTCCAACTCCCTTGTGGTAGCGAACGAGTGAACGTACTGTCGTCAACGTTCCGACAAGGGGACTTGCCTTCGTCAAGGCAGAGACAACTTTTTGCCTTCACTTGACAAGATCGCTGTAGAAGAGAAGTCATGTATAATCAGTTACAACTTTAGATGTCCGCGGTATTTCCTCCTCAAAGGCGGATGCACACAAGCCTGCGCCAATGGGTGCACACTCCAAATTGACGTCATGAGCGGGGGGATGGTCGGTGAGCCCAACTTCGGACAGCATTGCCAAGTGCATGAACGGGATGATTTCCTCAGTCGCGGAGCCGATCGGCTTCTGCGATTCGGTCATGCGGGTAGGGCCTCCGGACTTTTGATGTTGTATCTGGCTATGATCGAAGTGTCGCTGGCTGGCGGATGCTCCCGAAGGTATGTCATAATAATTGTTGGCGTTTAACAAACCAATACCATTCATGACAGACGCCGTATAGTGGAGGGCTCTGGCGGTTTAAACAACCTGGGGTTCTTTAACGCGCACCTAAATCTAAGTACATGGGCCTCAAGAGTTTTCGCCGCCACCGATAATACGCCGACCAGAGCAGGGATTTGATCCCGCGACCTTAGTTAGGGTCAGTTTCCGAGCAGCACAACCAATAGACCACCGCGGCGGGTAAACCACAATCATCGTGCGACATTTATTTTTTTTAGTGTGCCTGTATGACAAAGGCACATAGCCTCGCACGACATCGCTTCTGTAGTTGTAAGGTTTTGTAGGAATCGCAAAACTGGCTTCTTCAACGCAACAACCACCTTGAGGGAAACAGTATGCCTTGTCGAAAAGTTGGTTGAACGGGACACCCCATGTTTGAAGATTTTTCATCTCTACAAAATCGGCATAGTATGAATTTTGACGACGAAGGCTTTTCGGTACGGTCGGCCTATAACCGAAGCTTGCCGATTTGGCGCAGCTGGTACAGGCACAGGTATCCATCCTTTCCTTGCAAGTACGCTGTAAGAATACTAAACTCAGTTTAATCTACATCTAGTTGTAATGGTACAAGGAGACAACGTAATCTCGGCACTTGAAGATCTCTGCGTTAACTTTATCGATATTTGCATCATTATTAATTTCAGAGAACTGCAGCAGATATTAAGACGCTCGGCTATACGAAGAGTCGTGAGTGATACATGTTTCAGCAAGACATCGTAAGCTACGCCTACAAAGCGTGTCACGTACACGAGTGAGCCTAGAGGTGCTGTTTTCTCTTGTTCTCTCTCTCCAACAGCTCACTACAGCTTAAAACAGGGATAGGATAGGATAAGATTTAAAAGTGGAGCTATGTTTTTCTTCTCGATATGCTTTGGCTTTTATCGTGCACGCCCTCCCCTGTACACCAAAGAATAAATTAATTTTAGCCCTCCAACTGCTGGTGCATGCTTCAGACGATACGCCAACGGCTAAAACAGATGTTTCGAGCGAGTTCTAACAAGAGCGTAGATTACCGTCAAAAACGTGCCAGAAAACCTGGTGCAGCATCTGTCCGTCTTTTTTTTTTCTGCACTAACCCCATACTTCATGGAACATATATTGTCTGTTGTTATTGTAATTGTAGTAGTTGGTAATTAGGCGATTGCCTAGCTCATCTCTGTGTTTCGCCTTAACAAACTACCTTAAACTATCTTCATAGTAAAGAGATGTTTGTTACATTTTGCAATACTTCAACCATGTCGCTGAAGTTTGCAGTTCTCTTTTTATTGATTTCATGACGCTAAATTATGCAGGCTACTATATACGCTGAAAATTTACAACGAATGTTGGCTATCGACAGCCCAAATAATCAATGCATAACAGCAGGTGCTCGTGATATTATTACGTAGGTTTTTTTTTTTTTTTGCCACTGTGGACTAGAGCACGCTACTAGTCAGAAGAGGTTGAAGTGGCTCGGGGATAAAACCGATGATGTCGCAATAACTTTAGTGCATCAACGCTACCACTCTCTCATGTTGTAAATATATTCAGAATACTTCAACGCTAAGCGCAACATTTTGGTGGAGGTCGGAGTACGTCTCTGTTGTGTTGGCGTGTATTTCAATTTCAGTTATTCATGTTTCTCTAGTATCCGTGCAACGACTCTTTGCTTAAACGGATATTGGAATGAGTGGGCGATATTTTTTAACGATATGTTCCAAGAGAGGTGTCTTTCCGTGTGGAAGAAAAGTAGCGAAAGTTATATTAGCGCACTCTGGGCATTCTCCATCCCGTATACGGCGTTGCTTTTTCTTTCACCTTTATACTTTCAGTCTCCCTATCTTCAAAGTCAATTTCTAATGTCATTACTAGGCTGGCGATGGCCCGCTCTTGGTGGAATTTGTCAGTCCTTCCTTCCCTTCTTTCTTTCTTTCTTTCTTTCTTTCTTTCTTTCTTTCTTTCTTTCTTTCTTTCTTTCTTTCTTTCTTTCTTTCTTTCTTTCTTTCTTTCTTTCTTTCTTTCTTTCTTTTCTTCCTTATTTTCATACGTCTACATTGAAGTACTGACTCCACCCGGTGTTTGCACCGTACCTTCATTAGAGTATGCTTTCATTTGAAGTACTGTTAAGAATCCAAACCTGAACATTTTCTCCGCGCTATAGAGTGGCGTAGACAGCAGCGCCCAGTCTGTTGCTTTTTTTCAACTTATCTTCCGTTATATTCTTGTTTTTTTTTATTGTAAGCTCCAAGATTAATGCATGACAGATGTGACTTATAGACAGGGCTGGGACAGGGCGGACAAGAAGTGGTTGCGCAGGTTAGCTATGTTGGGTTCTATGGGGCGAAGACAACAGTGTCTATGATGCATCCGCATTTAAGCGCTGTCGATGCCATTCACATAGACATAGCATACTGGATCAGGGTTCGTGAACGCATCGACATGAGTGACCGATGAGTGGTTGGCAAATATGGGCTGTCACGCGGCTATATGACGTCACAAACAGGGCGTAATAGTGTGGGTATGAAATAAACCAGCGGAAAGAACAAGGGATCCTTGAAGAGAGAGAGTGAGGGTGACGAGCAGCGTGTGACGGAACAATATCCGGCGCTCATGATCACCATTTTCTGCTGCTTGCGAACGCTTTCTTGCTGTGTTGTTTAGAATTTGCTCTAACTTGCCTATATATTCTTGGCGAGTGTTACAAAAATGGGGCCTGGTGATTTTATTGCATGCTTGTCTGGGCTCGCTGCCAATGCAATAGGGCCTCCCAGCACAATGTCGGTGGAAATAAGTTTAATTTAAAAGTGAGACCCTAACATACCTCCTCGACCGTTGGCGACGTCAACAGGAGGGACAATGACGTCACGAATTCCTAAACTTGTGGCGTCATCACGAAGTCTCTATGACGTCAGCATGGCGTCAAAGTCGTGACGTCACACGATGACGTTACCATTCGACATCGTCGCTTGGGAAAAGCTCGGCCAGTCATTGAGGTTTCGCACGACCAGGTGAGGTGCAAAAAGAGTTGCAATGCCTGCAATCCTGGAGAGAGTGAAAAATAAGCTTGGGTGCAGAAAGGAGGGGGAGAAGGAGGAGGAGAAGGAAGAGGAGGAAGGACGGGGGTTAGCCAGTTCTCAG